AAGAAACTGCATAGCCAGAGGGGGGCTTCCAGCAAAGCCTGCAGCCCCACCCCCCACCTTCCCAGCACAGGCCTTGGTGGGCAGGGTGGGCAGAGCCTCACCTGAGCGGGGTCTGTGCTGGACCCAGGCTGCTGTGCCCTGGCCCGGCCACCCTGTCAAGAGCGATTGTCTTGGTGGCCTTGGTCCCATGTGTGGCTGAGTGCAGCTGCAGGGCCCCAAAGAAACACAGCCACCAGCCACCCGTCTTCCTGCCTCTAGGGAGCAGCTAACTGGGGAGGTGAGGTTAGCACCAGTGAAATGATAATTAAACAGTTAAAGGCAGCATTTAATTAGGTGCTAAGTGTAGACTCAGCAGACCCCTAAGGTAGCTCTTAGGCCTTGCAGCAGTCAGTGGGTTTAACGCTCACAAGCCCTGCAATGCTCCCCAGCTGGGATAATGGCTTTGTTATGATAGGAGTCAGGCTTGGGTTATAGGCTGGAGTTCGGGGGTGAACCTCTGGGCCAGTGAGTGGGCCTTGCTGCCCAGCTCACATGCCTACTTGCTGGAGAGGGGGGAGGGTCAGCAGAGCTCGGGGAAGTGATGACACCTTTGTCTGCTCATGGAAAGTGTCCTTTAAGTGAAAACAATTAAGCCCATCTCCGGTGGTGTGAAAACCCAACTCTTGACAGAAAGATGACTCGGGTGAAAGACAGGAACCTGTCCAAACCTGAATACTCTATTATAATAGAGTGTGTGTGGAGTTAAAATGTCAAGGAGAAGAGTGAATTTGGGCAGAGAAATTTCATCAGGAAACTGCCCAGAGGGGCTGGAACTAGAGGAGCGAGGCTGGGTGCTGCACGAGGGAGAAGCTGCCCAGATAGGTATAGCGCAAAGGCTGGCAAACTCCCGCCCGCGGGCAGGTCCCCATGCTGCAGCATTCTCGAAAGACAGCCACGCTCGCTCGGCCTGTGGCTGAGTCGATGCAGCAGAGACCACTGTGGTCTGCAGAGCCCCTGACAGGCTTGCGGGCCCTGTGGGTCAAGAGTGGCACTGAAAGAGGAGGCTGGCACAGAGAGGCAAGTGTGTGCCTATCAGCACAAGACACACCTTTGGGTGGACTGAGCCACCTTCCAGGGGCTGCACCCTACGTGGCGGCCCTGTGGCGGTCCTGTGTGTGGTAGCAGCATTCACAGCCAGGGCCGTGAGAGGCCCTGACAGACAGGACTTGGGCGCCCACGGGAAGGCAGGTGAGGAAGAGGCTGGCACGTCTGAGACAGGGAAAGTGACTTCTTTGGCCACCAATGAGCGTTGTGTGACTTTGGTCAAGGAAAACAGACTTGACTATGGTGGGCGGTTCTACTTGGAGACAGTCCCCATCTGTCTCCACCCTGCTCTGTGCTCAGCTGGGGCCTCAAAATTTAGCTTAGGATAAATCTGCTGGGAGACAGACCCCAGGCAAGATGGTGCTCTTGATTTTATTGTTACATGTATTTTAATAGAGCCCAAGGGAGCCCCTCCACTCTGACCCGTAGAGGCTGGATAGCCTGTGCCCCAGTAACCTCAGGAGCTAAGAGACTTCCGGTAACTCAAACATATGAATGCAAACCAATTTTTTACCTGGATCCTGGATGTGCCTGGAACATCGGAACCTCCTGCCGTCTGCACTGGGGACCTCAGCAGTCGACGGGGCCTGTGTAGTTGTGCTGAGATGTGTGGATCCCCAGGAGAGACACCCCAGGCCTGGGTTATTAAACCACGGCAGAGAGAGACCCTGTCCTGTTCTCCATCTTGGGGTGGCCCAGAGACAAAGGACTGTCTGCTTGGTTTCTAGGTCTTGGTTTCTTGGTCTTTTCCTTAATGTCTGAAGCATACTTTTTTATTGCTTTCATTTGCACAGCAGATACTACCTTTTAGGTTAAACCATGGGGACAGTGGATATCTGTGGGCGCCAGAGTGTCCTCTGCAGCTGGATGGAGCCCCTGAGGTCTGCAGTCACCTGCACGGGGGAGCTACTCTTGTTGTTGTTTTTTTCCCCCAAACATTACTGCACATCAGAAGCACCTGGAGATTTTAAGCATCCCAGACTGCACCCCAGTTCAGTTATAGCAGAACCTCCTGGGACGGACCCCAGATGTTTGGTCCACAAATGAGTCTGCGTGCAGCCAAGTTTCAGACTAGAGGTCTCTGTCATCACTGGATAGGAAGGGCTTAGGGGCACGCGTGGCTGGCGGATTGGCTGGCCTATTTGGGAGGGTGATTCATTTAGTCCGTGGGTCAGATCTTCTGTGCAGACTTAAGTGTGGGCCGCAGCCACCCCCGCCCAAGGGCTGACATGCTGGAGTGTGAGATTTGACGTGTTGGCCACGCAGAACACTCCCAGGCCTAGTCCTGAGCCTAGATTCTGTCTGCTGCGTGGGTCCTACAGGGTGGGGGTGCTGGAGTTGCTTGCATCACTTCCCCAGGTTTGTGGTAGGAAAGGGAGAAAACAGATGGGTTTATATGCTGAAGAAAGGGGGAACAGGAAGAAGAGAGTCTGAGCAACGTCAGCTCTGACTCTCAATGCTCAACACCAGGACTGGAAACCTGATCATTGAAGACTGTGACATGGCTGTATTTTCTGACAGAGGAATGGCTATAACTCAGTTGGTAACTATGAGAGATCTTCCCAGAGATTCTAGAGTTTTCTTCCTATTGTTTAACTCCTCTTTGTAGATTAGCAGGAGAAACTCATTCACCCCTGAGGAGAGACCCTCTGTATGCTTCAGGGGTCCTTGGAAAGGAAAACATAATGGTGGCTGGACAACAGTCCTTTCCCCCTAGAAGCTCCGCAGAGCAGGCAGGGCTGACCAGGCCCAGGCACATCTGGGTGGGGTTGGGTGTTCAAACTGGGGGAGGAAACCCCATTTTGAAGGTCCATGGGTTAATGAGTCTCAAGTGAAGACCGTCTGAGGCTCACACCACCTGGCCCTCACCTGACGCCAACAGGGGAGCCCTGGAAACACTTCCCCTCTGGCCTTTGATGGAGTCAAGGTCCAGGTGCAGAGCCTGACTGGCCACAGAGGAGAAGGGCCTGCATCCTGGCAGCTGCTGCTCACTCGGGAGGCCAGCAGCCCCTCCTGGCTGTCATCTCACAGGACACCGTGCCCAGGCCCTGAGAGCACTCAGGTGGCCCCTGACAGACACACACGGATGAAGGCTTCACAGGCAGCCCCCTTAGAGGCCTGAGCACTGTGGGGGTGGTGGGCCTGCCCTTCCTAGGTGCACACAGCTGACACGGGCAGAGCCCAGCTCCAGACCTAGGTGGACATGGTTCCAGGCCTGCTCACACACACACACTGCGGGGACTGCAGAAACGGTTCAGACCAGTTTTGCAACCTGCAGGGTAGGAATGCCGGCGTCCTTACGCAAGAGAGGTGTGGCAGGCCAGCTCAGTGCCTTCGTGAGCAGCGTTCCGGGAAGAGTGAGAGGAAAGCTGCTGTGCTGGAAAGGGGGTGCCATGCACCTTGCTGAGGCTTCCAGCACCCCTGGAAGCCACAGAGCACCATGTTTTACTGGCTTTTGAGGTTGGGAAGTGGAAGGAGAAAGTGGCAGCCCACTGTTCAGGGTGCTGTGTCCCCCAGGGGGCTCTCCTGCTCCCATTAACTGCAGGCTCCAGCGAAGGTGCGTGTCCCCTGCAAGCTGGGTCAGTGCCCTCTGGCAGAGGTTCGGCTCCTAAAGATTAAGAGAGCGCACCAGGGCCTTGGCACAGGAGCTGTCTCCCCCAGAGTTGCGTGCTGGGCTAGGCCAGGGCAGCCTCTCTGGTAGAGAGAGTCAACTGGTGGGTGGTGGCAGGGAGGCTGTGAAGTCCCCCAGCCAGACCAGACACCCACAGGATGGGAATGGGGGTGTCAGGGAGGTGACCCAGAGAGCAGTCACCCTACCTCTCTGAGTGCTCTCAGGGCCTGGGCACGGTGTCCTGTGAGACGACAGAATCGTGATGACTCGCCTGCCCTGAGTCCAGCGACTGCTAAGATCAGTTCAGTTGTTGACCAAGCTGTTTATTCCTCTAAACTGTAACTCTGGCACCTGCAGACACATACACACAGACAAAACCGGGAAGTGTGATGAACTGGAGAAGAAAGCCAAGGATCGACCTGGGTGTGGCCGATGCATCCTTGCACTCCCTACACTATGAGGACATTTGCCGCCCCCCCCCTCAGCTTTGTCTCTCCCTTGTCCCTGGGTCAGGGTGCAGACCCAGACCGGGCGGGTGGGTGAGAATGAGGAATCGTGGTCTTCGGAAGAACGAGACACAGCAGGTTTGGCGTCTCCTTGCAGTTCCGCTCTCACTAAGGGCTCCAGGAAAGGCCCACGCGTCAGTGCCCGTCGGCTCCCTGCAAGCTGGGGCAGTGCCCTCTGGCAGAGGCCCAGCTCCTAAGGATTGTGAGAGGCACAGAGAGCGGAGTCGCCGAGGGGTTTCCCTAGACCCCAGCAGAGGAAGTGTATCTCCCCGTCACATGGCCCCTGCCCCGCCGACTCAACACCCACTTGACAAACACCGCCAATGCCCTGGCAGCACGGCCCGGGTGTCAGCCAGGCTGGGGTCAGAGCTGACGTCGCCACTGGCAGCACCCCTGACATCCTGCCCCTGTGCCGACACCTCACGGCCATCCCTCTCCCATGGTTCTGGGCTATTTCCTGAGGTGCACACGCCTGGCGTGTCTGTGGGTCTCCATGGCAACTGAAGGCAGCTTCTCCCTGGCTGCTCTGGAGGCATGTGCAGCTGGGCTGTCCTAGAGGGTTGGACCCTGCCTCAAAGCAGGCCTGAGGGGTGGGCATCGGTCCCACCTCACAGATGAGGAGCTTCGGACATCTGAGGCTGGAGGCCAGGCTGGGGCTTGACCTTTGACCTCACCTCACATCTTTGCCGTGCCTTTGCCATTCCCATCCTACGGTGGGGCCTGTGAGCACACCTTCTTGATCAGCGGCCTTTGGGGACTGTGGCACACCCTCCTCATGCTGAGCACCCTCTCTCTTGCAGGATGTGTGCAAGGCAGCCGAGGAGGTGCAGCGGCCGCCCACGCTGCAGGAGATCAGGCAGAAGATCGAGAGCTACAACAGCCTGGAGAAGAACTGCCTGGGCATGAAGCTGGTGAGCGCCCGCCCTGCACACCCACGGGGACCCGACGCTGCCCCTGGGGGCCACCCCTTTCTCTAGGCCTCTCGAGCCTGGGCCGTGACAGGCTGACTGCCTGGGTTTTCTGAGGCTGGCATACTTTGGGGAAGAAGAATGATCTTTAGAATAAGATCCAGAGCCAGTCCTTGGCTGTATTTTTGCTCATGACTTTTGGAAACGTTTACTTCTCAGTGGGTCAGTGCACAGTAGAGATATTAGTGCTCATTTGTCCAAGCTCCATGGCCTTTGCCCAGCCTGAGAGCCTTCCCCTCACGGTTGATGCACACACAGCCAGTCTGGCCTTAGATGGTGCAAGGGATGGAGTGGGGAGTGGGGGAGGGGGTAGGGGAAAGGGCAGAGGGTCAGGACACCACTTTGTGCCAGGTTCCAGAAGCCCTGGTCATGGGGAGGGGAGGTTAGTGAAGGTAGGAGAACTCTGCCCCCTGCTGGCGGCTGGATGCAACTGGCTCTTTGGGGTCTCAGCCACGTCTAGTCACAGATGTGTAGCGTCCAGTCACAGATGTGTAGCGTCCAGTCACAGATGTGTAGCGGCTTAAGGCTTGTGGGCTGTGGGCTCTTTAGAAGAAGTAGGGGGAAATCTACAGAGCTGGGTCTCCTCAGATCTTACTACAGAGCCCGCTGTTTGTCCCTGGCTACAGAACAAACTCGGGAAGCCAGTCCAGTCCTTGCCGCTCTGAGTTGGGGCTCACCAAGGGCAGTCGGCATCTGCCTGGTGGTGGGGGGGCGTGAGCAGGCAGCCTCACGTGTCCTCTCTGGTGTCTGGGTACGGGGCCTTCTGTGGCCCACGGAAGCAAATGGCGTCTCTGCCCTCGGCAGACACCAGCTCAGTGAAAGTGGGAAGGACTGATGGAGGCAGGGGCATGGGGCCCTGGAAAGGCCACTGCAGCCCCCGGGGGCAATGACCCAGAGTGGCAGGATCGGCAAGGCTGCTGGGCCCTGACCCCACAAGGCCTCCCCCACCCACAGAGCGAAGATGGCACCTACACGGGCTTCATCAAAGTGCACCTGAAGCTTCGGCGGCCGGTGACGGTGCCTGCAGGGATCCGGCCCCAGTCCATGTATGACGCCATCAAGGAGGTGAACCTGGCGGCCACCACGGACAAGCGGACGTCCTTCTACCTGCCGCTCGACGCCATCAAGCAGCTGCACATCAGCAGCACCACCACGGTCAGCGAGGTCATCCAGGGACTCCTCAAGAAGTTCATGGTGGTAGACAATCCCCAGAAGTTTGCCCTGTTCAAGCGGATACACAAGGACGGGCAAGGTAAGAGAGGGCAAAGCCAGAAACCACCGTCTCCCCTCTGCCTCCCCTGAGCCGTCAGGCCAGGCGCGAGGCGGGAGCTTGTGGTGCACCTCACCTGTGTCAGCCACATAAATGCTGTGGGCCGAGAGCTCATGGGAGTTCCTGTCCGCTCCCCTAACTCACTCCACTTGTGACCCAGAGAAGCCCCCGGTGCTTCCACTTCCTATCTGTGCAATGGGGCAGACGCCCCGGGAGATGGCATGGGTCATGCTTTCCACTCTGAGAAGCCACCAGAGAGTGCATGGCCATCCCCTCTGCCCCACCCTGTCAGGTTCTGTCACCAGCAGGAGGGAGCTCCCTCCCGAGCTCTCCGTCCACACCCACTATAGCCACCCTGCTCTGCTGTGCTGTTTCCAATGCTCTCCCACTGGCCGGGCCCAGCCTGTCTTTTCTGAAACAACTCCCAACCCCCCTCTCGGTTTGCAGTCCTCTTCCAGAAGCTGTCCATTGCTGATTGCCCCCTGTACCTGCGCCTCCTTGCCGGGCCTGACACAGAAGTCCTCAGCTTTGTGCTAAAGGAGAACGAAACTGGAGAGGTGGAGGTAGGGGGGCCTTTGCCTATAGCATGAACCCCGCCCCCAGGGCCACGGGCCTGGCGTGCAGGGTGTCTTTGCTGTCCAGTATGGCGGGTGCCTTGCAGCAGCAGCAGGAGCTGGCCCTGGGGAAGCTGGGCCAGTGGGTGCAGGCCCAGGCTGGTGTTCCTGCCAGGACAGTGAGCCCCTGGGGTAGAACCAGGGCCTGTTTCTGCTAAAGACTGTGCAAAGATAGGGTTGCTTTCTTGTGTTTTATTTCTGAAAACTCCGGGTAGGGGGAAACAAGAAACCCCCTGTGCTTAGGCCCAAGTTGTATTGTTCTAGGACGGCCTGAGGCCCAGCAAGTTCCATCTCCGGCTCCACTGGATGTAGACAAATATTTTGGAGTCATTTGTCTCTCCCTGGTTCTTAGAACTGACCTACTTTGTCCAAGGCAAACTAAGGTCCAGTCTAGTGGTATAAGAGGAATGGAGCCAGGCTGGCGCTCCCCTGGGGTTTTGGGGAGCAGCCTTGGAGGTCTCTTAGGTGTGCTGGGCTTGGCCCTTCTCCCCGCTACAGTCAGTCAGCTCTGCCTCTCTGCTTTCTGTGTGGAGTGTGTGGAGGGTTGATTGGAAGGAGCGCTCCACTGAAAATATCTGAACACCATTGTCCCGTAGAAGCTCACAGGCCCAGGGGTTCAGAGATCCGGCTTCCATGTGGGGTTCTCTTGCCACAAGCTCTGCGATTGTGGTTAAACAACCTTCTCTCTGTGGCCTTCAGTTTTCTCGTTTAGCCACGGTCAAGATTCAACCAAATAGACTAATATTTCTTTATGCTTGAAATCCCTGGCACCATGAGGCCCCAGCGCCTGGGTCAGCCCGAGAGAAAGTCAGGCTTGCTTTCCACTTTCTGCCCTTAGCAGCTGCGGCTCTTCCCGGCAGGCCCGAGCTGGCCAGGATCTGTGGAGGGCCCTGTCTGTCTGCCGGTTGTTTCCCTGAGTTCACATGACCCAAGAGAGCAAGGGGGTATCAGGCTGAAGCACAGTGGCCCAAGTCTAAGTTCACTTCCCTTCCAGCTGCATGTTGGGAGCCAAGAGGGATCACCCCAAGCAAGCAGACCTGTGGGGACCCCTGGGGTTCTAGCACATCTGCTAAGATCTCTGCTGCGCAGGAGAAAATGTGAGATGACTGAGTCTCAGGAAGGAACGTGTTTCACAGGCCCTTGTCAGGAGGTGGTGGGGCTTGAAACGTTGCTGGCTGGTGTGTGGGCCCGGTTCCATGTCTTGCGTCCACCCACTCGGACAGGCGAGCAGCCCAGCGGGCGGGAGGACGGGCAGGCGGGCAGGCGGGGGCCTCCGTCGCGCCTTCTCACTGATCGCCTGTGCCTTCTGTCCCCGCTGTCCCTCTCGCCCCCAGTGGGACGCCTTCTCCATCCCCGAGCTCCAGAACTTCCTGACAATCCTGGAAAAAGAAGAACAGGACAAAATCCAGCAAGTGCGGAAGAAATACGACAAGTTTAGGCAGAAACTGGAGGAGGCCTTGAGAAGATCCCAGGGCAAACCCGGCTAACCAGTCCTGCTTCCTCCTCCCTGGGGCCCACGGATTTATTTGTATTATTATTATTTTGCAACGGACACTTTTTCTCAGGACACCGCTGGTAGGTGCGCGTGCTTGTCCTGAGCTCCCACGGGGCGTGGACCCCGCTGGATACGTGGGTTCCGCCTCCGTCCTAGGCCAAGGGGTGGACCTATGAGAGCACTGCACCCCTGTGCCACCGTGAAGGCTCCCACTGGCTGGACCTGTCACCTCAGTTGGCAAAGGAAAAGGATGAAGTCTTAGAGTTACATGTTCTCTGCCGGCTTTAGTCTTCCTCAGTTTCTCTTGTTTGCCACCATTGTTTCTGTATTTATGAGTCTTAAGTGTAGGATCGTCCTTCTGCAGAGCTGAGCTAAGCCCCGGACGGCAGGATAATGCTCCCTCACCACCCAAAGGTGCCTGTTGCTCATGCTTAAGGGGGCTCGTAATGCCACCGGTCCTGGTTGCTCCGGTGAAGGCGCCAAAGCTGGGGTCGCCCTAGGTGTGGAGGAGCTGCCACCTGCCCTGGTCCTGGTCACCTGCCTGTGCACGTGGAAAGCCAGCAGCGTTGTGTCTCTGCACGTGTGTGTCTACGTTGACGACTGTCTCTTAATATTGCCATCCTCAGGGTGTCTACTGAGGGAAACCAGCCATTTACCATTTGCAAAGTCCTGCTGTGTACAGTAATAGTTACAGAAAACCAAAAAGCATCTCAGAGAACTGTGTCCAAGCTCTCATCTCCCCCCTCCAGCCACGCCTCCCCACCCTTGCTGGAGAGCATGGGAGGGCCTGGCAGCCTCAGTTTCCCCCACGGCCTCCAGCACTGCCTCCCTCTCCCACCGAGACTCTGGACTCTGCAGCCTGCAGAGAGGGCAGCGTCCCCTCGCCACTGTGGAGTCCTTTCCACTCAGAAGCCTGGCCGGCCCCTGGCACTGTGCTTGGTGCGCCCGTGGGCCTGGCCGCCCGCTGACCTCAGTGCCTTTTTGTTTGCAGAGGGAGACGGGAGCAGCAGCATTGTGTGCCTGAAGCTTTGCTGCTGGCTTGCTCCTGTCGGGAATGGACACCAGTGGGGGACAAGGCCAGGCGAGCCCTACCTCCGGTAAGGGGCAAGGGTCACGGACCTCTTCCCCACCTAAGGCCCTGGACTCTGACTTCTAAGTCATTGACTTCTAATAACTGCATTGACTGGGAAGCTACATTCCCAGTTATTTGTCCTGGCTGCTTGCTTAGATTCAACTGAAGCTAGCCAAACCATCCAAACCAGTGGATCAGGGCTAGCAAGCTCTCACGCAGAAGCACAGGACTTCTCACTTTCCAAGCAAGGCCAGTTTTCCCATTTAGCCCTCGAATACCCATTTCTTTGCTGCCCGCTGCCTTCCCAAGCCCCTGTTGGGGCGGGTCAAGCCTGAGCGGCTGTGTGTAGCCTCTGAAGTTCTGTCCTGGCGCTCGCTGCCCTGGACCCTAGAAGGAGCGCTGACCGCGTCATGCAGACCATGTCATCCTCTCAGCTGCAAAAGTGAGAGAAGCTGGCAGCCTTCGAAGATTTCTAGCAATCTTATTAAACCCACAAGAAACCCTAGTTTTCTGCCATCATGTTCAGCTTTCCTTATGACTTCCCCTCCTTAGAAGCTCTCCCTGCCGTGTATCAGAGGGAGGGTGCTGGGGACCTTCCGTTCAGGCTGCATGAGAAGGCACGGCTCTGCACCACTGCTGTGAATGCTGCTGAGAACCTTCCTCTGATGGGGATGGCTATTTTATTTTTAAGAATAAAAAACAAAGTCATGTACATACATACATACATAAAGGCATATTGCTATATATATAAAGACAGAGGCCTGAGTCTCTGAGGAAAGTGCAAGTGTCTGCCACCCTGGGTGACACGACACTGGCAGTGCCTTCTTTCATTGTGTTGCTGTTTATTTTGAGGATATTTTCTTTGTAAATGTGTTTCTTATCTGGGTTTTGAAAAAAGTAATAAAAGCTTGTTGCAAAAATGATTCCGACTGGAGACGTGTCCCTTGACCTTCATCCCACGGACACTGGGAACTGGAGAGGGGGCGGAGGCAGTGGCAGATGGCACGGAGTGATGGACGCTACTGAGCAAATCAATTTAAGAAAGTTGTCCCCAGGCATGGCTGATGGGTGACTGGTGTCCACAGAGCTGGAGCAGAAAGGAGCTTATGATAGACAGAGAGACTGAGTTAGCAAAGAAGAGGGGCTTTCTAGAGCTCAGGAAGGTTTTGATGGAGGTAAGCGGCGATTCTTCTATTTCTAGAATAGAGCTAGATAGGAATGTGTCTTTGTAAGTTTGAGATCCTCACCTGGGAGAAGGCTGCATTCAAGGACCAAACCGTTCCTTCTGGTTTAGCATTATTTTCAAAGAAACAAACAAACAAAAAAAACCGGCCCTCCCTGGTGGTGCAGCAGGTTAAAGCACAGCACTGAGAATCTGGAGCCACTTCCGCATGAGTTCGATTCCCACCTGCCCCGGAGGTGACCACATGGCGTGGCAGACCACTCCTGACCCGCCCACTGCTCCTCTCAGCAGTGTATTTCATAGATCTGCCTGTTCTGCTCCCCACTCTGTCTCTGGTGAAGCCTCTCACCGCCCCTGAGCCTCTGGTCTGTACCCCAGTTCTGTATGCACAAATAAATACATCTTTTTTTTTTTTAAAAAAGAAAGAAACATCTCAGTCATCATGGAAATAATCTCACAGAAAACCCACCAATGTAGCTTCCGCCACCTAGGTCAGTACATTTGTGAAAACCTAGAAACCCAGAAACCCAAAGTGTTCACTTAGAAACTCATTTTGTTACAGTGTGAGCCTAGTAAGTTCAAAATTGCGAGTCTGACCCTGATTTTATAGACATAGGTACAGAGTTTGGCTTCACACCTTTCTCCTGCCTTCCTGCATGTACCTCTGGCGTTCACAGGACTGGGAAGACGGCTCAATAAAAATGTATCATCGTTACTGAAAAAACAATATTCCAAGCACTATTCCAAGTCCTCAATAGCCTTGTCACAGAGCAGAATTCTGAGTGAAGCACAGGTAATAGGCCCTCCCTAGTGGCACAAGGGGTTAAAACAGCACTGTGAAACTGCAGCCACTGCAGCATGAGTTTGTTCCCCGGCCAGGGAGCTGACCCACATGGCCCAGCAGACCTCTCCTGACCCCCTGCTGCTCCCCTCAGCAGTGTATTTCAGTCAGCCTGCCTGTTCTGCTCCCCACTGTCTCTGGTGAAGCCTCTCACCCCCTAAACCTCTAGCCTTCTCAGCTGCAAAAGTGAGAGAAGCTGGCAGCCT